AAGTAAGAAAAAAAAGTAATTTGCACCGTAAAACAAAAGACTATAACTATCAAATTGATGTTTGTTTTTCGGTTGAGAAATGCTTTAGTTAGCGAGAATACAAGAGAAAAATATGATAATATATTATAAATTTCTCATAAATATGCTTTATATATGACACAAACATGTTTTTATACCAATACTAAGAAAAATAGTTGTAACATGGGTTGGGTCGGATTTTACGGATTGCCTAATTTAAAATCCGCATCCAATCCAAAAGAAACAGGTTCCACTAAATGAAAATCATTACCCAATGTTAAATCTTATTTTGAGGGATAAATACGGGTGGGTTGGATGGGTGATTCTGGTTGCGATTGTTGTTTTTTTTCCATCCCTACTTGAAACGTGATCTCAACGACAAACCAACTCTGATATCATGTCAAAAATAAGTTGATTTCAATAATTCGAGTTATTGGGATAGACTTTTGTTAACCAATTGGTTAAAACAATATTTGGATGATGAACTTACTTGCCGTGGGTAGGGGACATGCTAGTGAAGAAAACCCTGGTCGTCCTCGGATCCATATTCTTCCTCGCCCACCTCATCATGCTCCGCATCGCCATCCCATACGCATCCTCCGTCGTCACCTCCACAACCTCCTTCTCCTCGCCGTCGAACGAGCCACCTTGCAGAACCTTCATCGTCAGCCCCGTCATCCACCAAAGGTAAGTGTTGAAGACCACGACGTCGGCGCCCTTCCAGTGGCGGCCGTGCACGTTGATGGATCCGCGGCGGACGACGCGGTCGGAGATCCGGTGGACGACGGCGTCGTCGGAGTTGGACTCGAGGAGGAAGGGGGCCCAGTAAAACTCGACGGTGGCGTTGTAGTCTTTGGCGGTGAAGACGGTGAGGGAGCCGGAGGTTTGCATGGATTTGGCGGATGAGGAAGGGATGAGGCGGTGGAGGAGGCAGACCATGGAGGTGAACTGGCCGCGGTTCAGGGAGTCGCCGACGTACATCATCCGCTTGCCTCGTAGGGTTTCGAGCATCAACGTCGCGTTGAAGCTGCATGCATGATGTTAATTAATATCACATGAGTGACGAACAAAGGAATGGTCTAGTGGTAATATTACTACCCTTAACCTAGAGGTCCTAGATTCGAATTCCTTCAGTAGTATCTAATTACAAAAAATAACCTATATCACTCTTATCTAAAAAAATATCACATGAGTGAAGAGGTTTAATTTTCTCTAGGCAATCTCTTATTAATCAATCAAATAATTTGTTCACATAATCAAATTAACCTCACAAACCAATCACATATTCTTATGACCACAGAATAATACTTATTTTCCAATTAGATTTTTTTTTTGGTTGGGAAGGTCGTCGGACTAATAACTCGATACTCGTACCCGTTTCGTGATAAGTCACATATTTTGTTTTGGGACACACGTAAGATTGGGTCGATTCATATGTGTATGTAATAACGAATAAACACTTGAAGAATTTATTTTTTTCTTTAATAAGTCGAGAACCAAATTATGACATGATAAATGTAGCTAAATTTTTTTTCCTCTCGTAAATAGTTAAATTATTCACGAGGTTGAGTTTCTCACCTATTTATAAATTTATTATAGTAAAAATATGATAAATGTAAAGTCTTAAGTAATTAGAGTAAAATAACATATAATTTAGACACAACGAGTCGTGAATGAGACGAGTTAGGTCGAGAAGAGTACTCTAATAGCCTTGTCCCACATACCAGATTGGTATTCTCCACCCAAAACAAGGGAAACAAATCGTGTAATACAAGTAAGGTGGAAATTTCCATCTTAATAATGCCGATCAAGGTATCTTATAACCAACATGTTATTATAGTTACAAATCAATTAACCAAGGAAACAAATATATATATACGTTTACCAAAAATATATATCTAACAACGTATTGATTGAGTTTAACATCAAATCGAAATATCATACCAGCAGTGGAAAATTGGAGTGTGATTTGGAAGGATCTTCATCATAATTACCATAATTCGACAGGTGGCGGTGGGGACGGACGTGTTACGTTGATAGCAGTTGATCGATCAACGTAACTGACTAATCATTATTATGTATAATAATTATAGAATTTTCACTCGAAATCATGGGGAATTAACAAACAAGCTAGGGGAATTAGGGAGCCGGAAATGGATGATTAAGAGCAGCAGCTTAATTAATAAACGGTTACGCACCTGGGGAGATCACAGCCATGGGGCTGCCACCTCCAGAACTGGTAATCCTTATCTGGACGGCCACGTTCCTGACACGTCAGCTGGGGCTGGATGTACGGACACTCCGATTCCTGGTACAGCGGCCGAGTCGACTCGTCCCACACCCACCTCCCGCTGAAGTAATCGCACCCTTCCGGCCGCTTCCCCACCGCAAACGCCGCCTCCTCCCGCTTCTTCTTCCTCTCCGTCCCGCCGCCACGGGGAGAAGGGCCCGCCGGTGCGACGTCGTCTTGAGAGTAGAAGTCGAGCTGGCCGAGGAGGCAGGTGAAGTCCTCGCCGTAGAGGGTCACGACGAAGACGATGAAGGCGAGGAGCGTGATGAGGAAAGGTGACAGGCCGCGAGCCTTTCTCAGGGAAAGAAGAGAGGTGGAAGAAGAAGATGATGAAGGAGGAGAAGGAGAAATTAGAGTCTTCATTTCCTGTTAATTAATTCCCTCCTTAACTATAACGTTGAAGAATGGTGTTCTTTAGTTTCGAGAGGGTCGTGTACAGGGAGGAGGGACTGGTTTGGATGAATGTGAAAGAAGCTATGATCGTACCAGTCAGCTTTTATTAATGGCGTATTTGGGGTAAAACTTATTGAGTGGAATCTGTTCCTTGTATTTTAAGTTTTTTTTTTGTTTTGTTTTGTATAGTCTTCCTTGTATTTTAAGATAGGGGGAAATACGTACGTTGACTAATTAATAGTGGGGGATACGGATAATTATTTAATGGGCTTCCTTCCATCATGTTTTTAACATTGGTTCATTCTAAATTCTAATTCAACTTTACTTGCATTTCACTTCATCCGAGCTACTTAATTGGAGTTTAACAAGGACTATAGTCTTCCTACGAGGTCAGAATATGTGCATATACATGCATTTGTTAACCACTAAAAGTGACGTATAAATCAATCTAACCAACACTTTATCTATATTCACAACATATTATGCTAGTCCAATATCATTCAGTAACTTCTTCCTCAAACAAGAAATCCTCTATATAAAACAAAAAAAGGAGTTGTGGCATGACATCAATGAGGGAAATGATGATGAGCAAACAATGGTGGAATTAAAATGTCACTTGGCTTCTAAGTAAACTAAACTGTCTCGAAAGCTCCCACATCATTGTCTCACTTTGTGGACCGATTGATTGTTTTCTTCTTCTTCTTCTTCTTCTTTGTTAGAGTTTTTTTTCCTTTTTCTTTCACCAATAGTTAAGGGACAAACCAATTAAGTAGTGAGGGATGCCACCAAATGCCAAGCCAAATATATAGAGTTTCTATCTTCTTTAGCAAAATTGAAGAGATGCGTTTTAGGTGTGAGGGTTTGGTAGAATTTCAGCTTCAAAGTGGTTGGCCATTGTTTGTTTACTTGGTATCCAATGTTTTGTGTACCCTTAACTAATGAGGATGAGGAAATTAGCTGTTGCAATGATTCTGTTGAAACAAATAGATATATAAGTTTTGTTATTTTAAATAAGAGTAACATAGTATTAATTTAAATAGAAAATTAGGAGTTTACAAGAACTAAACATCTCCAGGGAAAGCACACTAAAAAGAAAGCATACTGCAATGGCAAAATAAAAAATAAAAAACCAATGCGGTAACAAACCGTGATTATTAATGGTAACAAACAACCAAACTAGGTCTAGAGTTCATGCTTGAAGCTTAACAAACAGTGATTATTAATGGTAACAAACAACCAAACTAGGTCTAGAGTTCATGCTTGAAGCTTAACCCTATCAGTAACAATGCGGTAATAAGAAATAATATCGTACATTCACCGCATCTTGAATTATTTCTCATTAGTAGACCACGGTCGTTTGTTATAACATAAAAATGAGAAAATTTATCTCATCCTAAGTTTGAACTGTTATACCAATAATAATAATAATAATAATAATCATAATTTTTCATAGTTATAGATTCTCATTTCTAAATATCCAGTGTTAAGCAAATATTACCATCCTCATATTATCACGATCCATTTCATTTGCATTTAGTTTCCTATAGAAAAAAATAATTGACCTTGTTATTGTTTTTCTAGTACCTTAAATTTGGACTTACTTAACATCTTGTCTTTTTAATAGTAATTGACATCTTGTATTAGAGAAGAGAGTAGGGTATAAACTTCATATATAAAAATCCAAATATCTTATTCAAACCCTTTTTCCCTTCTTTTTTTTTTTTTTGTGAAACTTATAATGCTTCACTATGTGGCCAAAGCAAAATCATTTGATGGTGTACGTTCTAACTAACACATGCTATAGCTAGCTAACCATGGATTAGAGTTGAATTTGATACTTGAATCTTAATGAATTAAACAGCTAGCTCAATTATAGGTTTAAAATTAGTGAATTACCATTTTTTATATATAAAAACGTAATCTGAGTGGAATATGAGTGGCTTTCTGAATTTTGATTAAAGAAAACCTACCAATCGAGCTCCTTGTCTGACGTGATGATATAATTGACTCTTTGAGACTGATAGGCCATCAGTACAAGAGTCAAGAGGACAGCTCAATTTTGAGATGATGCTTTCTAATAAGGATAAAATGGTCATTCGGATGCTCATCGCCTTAAGGACCTACTAGTATCAAGGTTAGGTCTGAGGGAATCCCATCAACGTGACGTTAGGTCAAGAGAATCTCTGTAAGAAGTGAGGGATGAAGCATCAAAAGGAGTTTTATGAAGCTATGGCCCAAGTTCATGAATCTTAACAACCAAGTAACATATGATGAAACAATGTCGATTGAAAAGAACAGATTGACTTCATATCTAGATTTTCTGGTGAACTAATTTGGACAGAATGTTTATGGAGTGGGCAATATGCCCTTTGCTTACACCGTTCGGTCGCTCTTCTGTGCATTTGAAGTCGTTGGATCAACACATTGACATTTTTGTGTATAAAGCCTACGCTTTCATCTAACGGCTGAAAATGCGTGCGGGGTGGGCAATTGGGACGGTGCAAGCACGGGCATGCACCCAGCCCTGTATGCACGATAGTCGAATTGGGAATGAAATGAACTATGTGCTAACATGAGATGGGTACATGTGGGAAACACGATTTTTCTATATTATCATTATAATCATTATTAGGATAATTCTTATTATGGTTAGTAGTCTTCTAGTAGAATTAGGTTTATTCTTAGGGTTTTCTAGTATTTCCCTATATATATGTATTTTGGGTCATTCTTCAGATTAAGCAGAAATTAATAAGAAAAGTCATCTCCCCAAATCCCTAATCTTCTCTCAATCTCGTCTATCTTTCTCTCTAAAGGTTTCGGCCATTCTATCTCTATTCTTCCCCAAATTCTCTTCTCAAATTCCTAAATCCCCAATTCTGTTCCTAATCCCTACTTCTCTTCTAAAATCCCTAAATCTCTACCAATTCCCAATTTCCAAACACATTCGTTGGAACCCTAAAAATAGGTTTCCTACATCTGGTATCAGAGCCCGGTTTCGAGAATTGAGTTCACCACAACTCTCAACCGGGGACGATTTCTACAACTGGTTCGACGATGAGCTCTTCAAAGCTCTCGAACCTGTCGTGGGCCGAATTGCGGGACAGAGCCCGTCGCATCGGCCGCCGTTGGCTGCCCGAAGAGCCGGCGGTCGAGCTGACTGGCGCCAGGCGAGATAAGGATGTGGAGACGACGGGGTCAACTCCTAGTCGTCGGATCGAAGACTCGTCACAGGAGATAGGGGCGAGGCGGGAGCTGCTGATTGACGAAACGTCAGAGCAGAAAGACCGCGCGACAATCCTCGTCGCGCGAGGGAGGGTGGCTCCAGCCGCGACGACGACCGACGAAGAGCAGACGACGGAGCATAAGGTCGGAGAGGTTTCGCCGCCTGGTCGCGGAGTTCGGGGATCGCCGCCGACAGAGTTGATGGAGTTAGAAGCCGAGTCACCGTCTCGCAAGCATGCTGCTGTCGTTCAGCTCCACACGTCGACAACGAAGCTGATTGCGACGGTTCAACCCCTGCCGTCGTGGACAGCAGCAACCGCCACTGCCAGAGTTGAGGGCGAGCACCCCTCCACAGCGAACAACATCCTAGGGATCGGAGAAGTCGTTGGGTGCGTCTCCCAGAAAGCATCCCCATCCAACCCCCCGACTGATGGGTGGAAGTTTCGAAAGAAAAAGCTTACAGGAGCAGCCCTTGTTCCTCGTCCGCGGAACGACGACGACGCGGAAGGGATGGACAGGAACTCCGGGACATGGGCAAAGCTCCACGGAAGCAATGAAGGACGACCCGGAGACGAATCGATGACGAGCCTCACGACAGGCTTGCCGGATCCGCGAATCCCGCGAGCTGTGCAGCAATCAGCGGCGGCTCTCTATGCGTGGACGATATCCGAAGAGACGATGAAGCACGGGATCGGCGCGGCTGCTTCCCTTGCGCGATTGATGTCGGTTCCAAGCCGGACGACGACTGCGAGGAGAGAAGCGGAGCAGGACCACCGCGAGTCTTCGCCGTCGGCGCGAGTCGCGCGGGTGACGCCGACCAGCCCACCCATGGCGATGGAGGGAGAGACGCCAGAGAAGGAGGGGCAGAGCCGCCAGGGTTCTTCGCCTGCGGCGCCATTCCGAGGGCGGCGCACCGCCGGGAGAAGAGTCGCCGGAGAGAGCGCTGCTGGAGAAGGAAGGCGGCGTTGTCTCGGAGCCGGGCCGTTGGGGAAACAGATCGGCGGTGAGGGTCAAACGACGACAACGTCGCGGGCAAAAGAGGAAGTTGGCGGCGGCGGCTTCAATCCTCTCGCCAAGCCTAGGTGGCCAACCCTAGACAACTGTTTGGGCCGCATGGCTGACCGGGCCCAAAATCCGAATGGGCCACGAAGCGTGGACCGACCCGAGAAAGAAAGGACGGATCGCAAGTGGGTTCGACCGGGTCCTGGGTCGCACAAAGGCAGTCTGACCGAGTGCCTTCTTTATGGTATTGGGCCGGACCCAGTTGTGGAGATGAAGACTACTGGGCTCAGTCTGGGCCCGACAGATCAATTGAGCAAACAGAAATTTAGAGTGAAATGGGCCGAGCAAGAGATTGGGCCGAAGCTTGAAATGGACCAGATGCCATGGTCCAGTTTTGAGGAAGTGGGTCCGCGTTTGCAGACTTTAATTGGGCTTCAACTGGGTTGTTTAGTTGAATCTCTTTATTTTGGTATGGGCTTAGAAGAGGATAAAGATGGGTTCATGGGCTTAGATGATGGGCTCCAAGAAGAGGAACTCTATGATTCTTACTTGGTAGAGTTTGAGGAGGATAAAAGGTCATTTGGCCATGATTGCGACACGAGCTACGTGGGTAAAGAAGAAGCAATGGGAGTCGAGGTGGCTGGTGTGGGATTCATTCGAGCAGTGGAGCACAATTGGAAGACAAGAAAACGCAAGGAGTGGAGAAGACAAAACGCGGATTGCGCGGGAGATGTGAAGAAATGGGTCAAGTCAGTCAACCTTGAGGGCAAGATTGGTCTGAAGGGGGAGGAGATGTGGGAAACACGATTTTTCTATATTATCATTATAATCATTATTAGGATAATTCTTATTATGGTTAGTAGTCTTCTAGTAGAATTAGGTTTATTCTTAGGGTTTTCTAGTATTTCCCTATATATATGTATTTTGGGTCATTCTTCAGATTAAGCAGAAATTAATAAGAAAAGTCATCTCCCCAAATCCCTAATCTTCTCTCAATCTCGTCTATCTTTCTCTCTAAAGGTTTCGGCCATTCTATCTCTATTCTTCCCCAAATTCTCTTCTCAAATTCCTAAATCCCCAATTCTGTTCCTAATCCCTACTTCTCTTCTAAAATCCCTAAATCTCTACCAATTCCCAATTTCCAAACACATTCGTTGGAACCCTAAAAATAGGTTTCCTACAGTACATGGTATGTATTAGATGTCCCAAAAGCAGAGAGGGTTTCCATAGTCTACTTGTTCAAGGGAACCATAAATCTAAACCCTACCGGCCAGCTGCTTGCTATCCTTCTAGTGAAAAGAAACTACCTAAGATCGAAATTGTGAAGAGAGTATTGGGATGTACTTGAAAACTGCCGGTTAAAGCTGAATCCCGGATGGTGCTAAAAGTTGACAGGAGAATAGGAATCGCGATAGCTCTCTGTTGGTCCTCTGAATCTTCGAACCAAAGAAGCGAAGAAGCCCTGCAGAATCAGAAACACAAGTGGTAATGACTCCACCAGAATTGGGTGAAGATGATTTTTGAAGTACTACCAAACCGCTTGGGATAGAGAGATTTATTTACCTGTGTTCTCTGAGGTAATCTGACCCAAAAGTCCAAGTTTGGCACCACCTGATGACAATTTCAGTCCAGAATGCAAATGCAATATTTGTGTGAAATGAAAATTTGATAAGATGCAACTGAGAGATGATTAATAGTGACAAAACATTGAACTGGTTTGCAGTAGAGAACGTACATCTAATCCACGAATCCCAAGGAAGAAATGCCGATAAACTGCACCAGCTAACATGTAGGCTCCAAAAACACACAAGACACTGAAACGATGAAGAAACCAAGTTAAAGCAAACGATTACATAGGTAAATACTATGCCTTTTCTTTCTCTCTCCTTGATACGGAGAGGGGTTCTGCTAAGGTGAAAGAGACAGATAGCAGATGAATTGTAGAAAATAAATAGAGAGAAACAAACATTATTATCAAGGTAGCAAACCAGCCCAATCCTTTCCCACGAACAGATATAACTGTAGCACACCCAGATGGATGCTGTAGAACTGCAGCCTGTCCAATGACACAGATGAATAAGACCCCTTTCCATAGGTTTTAGAGAAGTTGCAATTAGGGCTGTCAATTTGGTTTGGTTTGGTTAACCAAACCATTAAGTATGAAAAACCAAAAACCAAAAATCAAATCCCAAAAACCAAAACCAAAACCATTAAGGTCCTTATTGGTTTTTGGTTGCCAAAAACCAATAAGGACCTTAATGGTTTTGGTTAACCAAAAAACCAACATGTACTCATACACTCATATTTATTCATATTTCCCTCCTTTTTATTGAATAAACATCATAATAATGGTAAATGGCCATTACAAATTATTGGTTGGCATGCGTGTCAAAAGAAAAAAAAATTTGTTGATAAATAATTTTATTCTTATTGGTTTCTTAATGATTTCTATTGGTTTTTCGGTTTTAACCAAACCAAAACCATTAAGTTGCTTATTGGTTTAAAACCAAAAAACTGAAACCATTAGCTTTCCAATTGGTTTGGTTTTGGTTAAAACCAAAAAACCAAAACCAAATGGACAGCCCTAGTTGCAATTCATATTAGTTTCCAAACAACTCACATGATCACATGTCCCTGACTTCTGCAGTCCAAGGGGGCCCTGTTAAGGTAGAAGGTTGTGGCAAGTCTCAGAGATACACCAAATGGGGAGTTTCAAGCAGAGAAATAATTTGGAAAAATATACAATGGAGTGTAGATTTCCAAAGGAAAAACTTTCTTACTGTGAGTCCAGACGAGTTACAGATGACAGAGACAGAGAGTGAGCAGTTTTCCTTAGTATCAAGACTTGAGATCTTAACAATGACACCCTTCTGAGGATTTTGTTTATCTGCAATGCAAATGTATGTAGAGTCTAGTCCTTTCAGATGTAAATATGGGGATAAGTAATTAGCCAAAAGACATGCTCTTATTAATGATTAGCAAAGCAATTTACCCATGATGTCAGAAGAAGTGTTAGAAACGCCGCCAATAGTGCTGCATACTTCATAGCCTGTATGCATGAGACAAAACTAGTTAATTTCTTTACTGATCTGCTGTGGACTCACAAGCATAGGGCACATGTATAAAACCGTGGTATTAGGTTAGGCCTTAAAGTGGAGGGGAAAACGAAACCAGTTGTTTCACATATTTCCTGATTTTGGATTTCTAAAGCAAGGATGAAAAACTTCACATGACCATTTAGGAATATGCTCATTCTGCATAGTGCATACTGATGCTAAGAAAAAAACCTTGCCCTGATCTTGAAATAACTTTTATTTCTTATTGGTAGTATCAAGAAGTTGCTTAAACAATAATCTTCTATAACATACAGTGATACAGTTACAGCTACATCTTTTAACGTACACAGATATTACCCATGCTCAACTAACAATGGCACCAACACAAATGATTATGGAAGTTTCAAGCAAACGTGGAAGGACACATCCATGCACATTGGAAATACCGAAATAGAATTTAATTTCACATATATAAGTGTAGCATTTACCGCCAATATTATTAGCAACAAGTGCACTACATCCACTGCCACAGTGAGATGGCCCACCACAATCCTGGATTACCGATAATATGGTGAGAACAATTTCACTAATAAAACAGACTGGGATAGAAACAAATAGAAATCTGGTCTTCCTAGTGGTAGAAGAATAGCTGCCTGTCAGATGCGCATCAAAATGAGTAAGAATCTACAAATTTAAAGCCCAGACATTCCACAGGAAAGGTAGAACCACCAACAGGTATGGAACACTTCAATTGCTAGGCCCTTCCATTGTGAAAGGGATTTCCATAATCTTTCCAAACATTTCTGTATTTGTCTGTCCAAACTTTGAATACTATACTAGCTTCGGTATAAACACTGAAGTTTGACTTAACTGTGGATAGCTAAGATTACCTCATATTTTCATTTATCATGGTGGAGAGGTTACTCTGCAACTTAAATGCATGTGGAACGGTAAAGATACAAACCACAGAGTATTATTATTATTCTAAATGCTCACTGCCTAATCTACCAATGATACCATTGTAGTACATAATTCATTGATAAGAAGCGCTTACCTGACAGCCAACACATCTAGGTGGGTTGTGATTAAAAATCATTCCAGCACAGAGCTGCTCAAAACAATCAAACAAAACAAATTAAATGGCAAATCATCTGAAATGATTCTCAAGCCAAATAGTTTTCACAAAAGAAAATATTATCTTCAAGCTTTGCAGTTCACATGCCTTTTTTTAAGCCTTACTAATCATGCATTTAAAAATCAGCTCAGGCTGTTGCCCTATTGTGTCAGCTAAAAGATAGACGCTAATTCAATCTCCTAAATGCATCACTGGTCGTGGATTGGCTAGCTAATATATACAGAATCAGAAACAAAGAAACCAAAGTGTAACCTGATTGTTCCAACCTGAAACCAGAGCACACTCTCATTCTCCGCGACCTTATAGAACCTAAAAGCATCAAATAAACGAAGAGTGTTTCTTTATCAGAATCAATCAGCACTGAGTGAAGCAGGTTTCTGGTTGAGTTATATAATGAGTGTTTTACAAGATACCCCAATTATAGGACAAATTTTTGCTTCCTAGAGCTGAAAATGGCATGAAACTGCTTCGTTGAAAATTCAGAATCCTTAAGTCACATTTACCATTCATACGATGCACTAAGTATACATTAAATCCACAAACTTGCGCGTCAGCCATCGACAGAAATGCCTTTCATTTGCCTACAAAATCTTGAACCCCACACTCATAGCAACAGTTCTAGCAAAGGCCAAACAATTTTCAAGTAGAGGCCTTACTAACTAGTTGCGCTCAAACGCATATGACCTAAGCCAATATCTTATACAGCATCCTCATTAGTGCAGTAGTTAATACTACAGTGACCTCACCCCAAAACAAACCGAGTGTAAGTGAAGTGATACCCAGTGAAGCAATATGTCGAACACAACGAGTGCAAAAACATAGAGACCGATACTGCCCACTGAAGCAAATGAAAAAGAGATTTCAGAAAGTCAGTGTACCCATCTTCGCTGAGGATGCCGTGGGGGAATCCCGCGATAGGAGCAGTGAAGCTGAAGTTGAAAATCTGGCGGCCGTCGAAATAACTGACATCGCAGAGACCGGCCGAGGCGGAGTGGAACGACGACGCGAGAACGAGCAGAGGAATCGCGATTAGCGAACGTCTCAAGGAATCGATGCATATTCCCATAGTTTCCGGCCTTCTGGGTAGCGTAACGTGGTGGATTTTCAGCACATTGCTGCCCGGAGAAGGCGAGAAGCTCCGGAAGCATGCGTCTGGCTTAGGAAAGTCAGTACCGGACTTTCTTCCTCGGCCGACGAGTGCTAAATTTTCCAGGAAATTGCCAAGTGCCCCACCGATTTTGTCTTAATTGTCAAAATAAGGACAAAAAAGAATGGACTTCTTGAATCTTGAGGCCAGCCCGTGGGCTAACGGTGGTCATTTCTGTAAAATGGGTTGTGGGACAAGGCCCATCTGTCCTCTCCAGTCTCCCCAAGACGTTAATGGCGGGCGGCAACGGGGGTTAAGGAAAGGGAAAAGCAACCGAAGAAGAAAGGCGCCGCTTTTCTGCCGACGAACGATGGTATCGCCGAACCTAAACAGAGCGTTAACGAACACTCGCTTCTCTGACCTAAATCCGGCGCTCTCCGATCCGGTCCTCGATGCCCTGAAAGAAGGTGGGTTCGATTATTGCACGCCGGTTCAAGCTGCTACCATCCCCTTGCTATGCGGCTACAAGGACGTCGCCGTCGACGCCGCCACCGGCTCCGGCGAAACCTTGGCTTTCGTTGTCCCGCTCGTTGAGATTCTCCGCCGGGTCTCTCCTGCCCCCAAACCTCAACAGGTGAGTTTCCCCTGCTCCCAGGAGTGTTTTTTCTTATGTACCTCAACTCAACTGTTAATGCTAATTGCAAGAGTAATGGAGTAATAGCTATACTTAAGTTGGTTAATAGTTCAGGTACTTGTTGATGTTCAATCAGTGGTATTTTAGTTCTACTGACAGGTACTGGGAATTATAATCTCACCTACGAGGGAGTTGTCATCACAAATATATCATGTTGCAAAGCTTTTCATTGCTACTTTATCAAACTTGAAGTCCCTTCTCCTTGTTGGGGGAGGTGATGTGAAGGCTGATGTGAAGAAAATAGAAGAAGATGGAGCTAATTTATTGATTGGGACGCCCAGTAGGTTGCATGATATAATGGAGCGGGTTGATGACTTGGATTTTCGGAACCTTGAGGTATGGAAATCAACTGCAAGGATTTGGAACTGTGTATTGGCCCGGTTTTTTTAATGATATTGTGTTACTAAATGGTGTAAATGAGACAGCTTTCTTACGGATGTGTAAACTTCGTTTTGCTACTCGTGGAGCAGGTATTGATTTTAGATGAGGCTGATAGGCTATTGGATATGGGGTTTCAGAAGCAGCTAAATGCTATTATATCCCGGTTGCCAAAGCTTCGAAGAACTGGTCTTTTCTCCGCTACACAAACTGAGGCAGTTCAAGAGCTGGCCAAAGCTGGACTTAGGAATCCTGTAAGAGCTGAAGTTCGAGCCGAAATGAAGTCATTGGGTGATTTAGGGTCATCTCAACATTCTGCTTCTTCCAAGACGCCATCTGGGCTTCACCTTGAGGTATGCTGCTGCTTGCCCCTTCTGTTGAGCCTACCCTTAACTTTGATGTATGGTTTGTTTGAAAATAACTGGTGTATCTGTCTTTATGCAGTATTTCGAGTGTGAAGCAGATAAAAAACCATCAGAACTTGTTGATCTTCTTGTTAAGAACAAGTCTAGAAAGACTATAATGTGAGTTCTCGCTGTATTTTGAAAAAGGGTGACTAAACAGCAACCTCAATATCGAGGTTGACATTGGTTTCTGCCTAACAAGGTCTTTTAACTCTATAGATACTTTATGACATGCGCTTGTGTTGATTACTGGGGAGTTGTCCTTCCTCAACTCTCTGTTTTAAAGGGCCTCTCTTTGATTTCTCTTCATGGGAAGATGAAGCAGGTAAAAATCTTTATTGTAGATTCTAGCCGATTCGGTTTCATATTCACAAGGCCATAAGTCTATGACACTATTTTGCCCTAACAGAATGCTAGAGAAAAAGCATTGGCGAAATTTACATCCCTTACAAGTGGCGTTCTTCTATGTACTGATGTTGATGCACGAGGGCTCGACATCCTAGGTGTAGATTATATAGTGCAGGTAATATGAACTGCTCAATTTGGTATGCCGTCTAAGTTGAAGAGAAATCCTTCTTTCTAAGAAGTTCCCTTCATATTTGTTTCTGCAGTATGATCCCCCACAAGATCCAAATGTATTCATCCACAGAGTTGGTCGAACTGCCCGTCTAGGTAGACAAGGACATGGAATCGTTTTCTATTACCTAAGGTGTGGTGCACAATTGTCTAGTTATACTAAGATTGAGTCACATTGATACTTCACTTTTCAAATCACATGTTCCATTCATGGAGGGCTTCCATATATAATTAAGTTACCTATTTCAGGAGGAAGCCTACGTCGAATTTCTGAGGATTAGAAGGGTTCCTCTTGAAGAGAGGAAAAGTATCGATGATGCCCCGGATGTCGTGTCTCAGGTATTCGTTTCTGTTCTGAAGAAATTAAATAATTAATATATGGCCATGGTTAGAACCTTGGGCTGACTAACCTAATTATTTCCTGCTCTTCTTTATTAGTTTCTTTTATTATTTCCTTCTTCAGATTCGATCTGTTGCCAGAAAGGACCGTGACGTTATGGAGAAAGGACATCACTGTTCTTTTATTTTCAGGTTGGGAATGTCAAATGTGTATCATGTCTCAAACTGTGTCTGTATCTGAACTTTTCTTCTGGACGTCTACTGCCCTTAAATTACAGAACTACATATGTTATGAACTTGCGATTGACTATTTTAGGTGGAAAGAATTCGAAGTTGGGAAATTGGGCATGGGATTTGGGCTATTACAACTTCCTTCAATGCCTGAAGTAAAGCATCACTCCCTCTCCACTGAAGGTTTCATTCCAGTTGAAGACCTCAAATTGGGGGAAATAAAATTCAAGTGAGAAATCTTGTCCTATCTTATCTTGTTTTGCAAGACTGGCTGATTATGAGTTTCGTCAACCAAATTCATATATTAGGGGTGTTGATAGCAATAGCGTTATTCTGCTAACCCTTTAAGTGGTTAGCAGATACTAACACGGTGGGATGATGGGCCACGTCGCCGAGCCACCATCGGAGGGCCAGGGGTCGCCGGCGCTGTTCTGTGAGCGGGGGGAGTGTTTTTGGCCAAGCCGAGCCACTTTTGGGAAAAGTGGGGACAGAAAAAAGAAAAAAAAAACCAAATTTGAAACCCAAAACCCAACAAATCCGCTCAGCCATTCTCTCTCCCCTCTCTCCAACTTTCGAACCCTCTCCCTCTTCTTCTCCCGAAAACCACAGAACAGCGACGAGAGAGGCGACGAGAGAGGCGACGCCGACGAGGAAAGCGACGGCGACGACGGCTGCGAGGTCGGCGACCGCTTGTTGGATCTCCCGCCGACGACGACGTTGACGCTGGACCGACCGACGAGGAAGAAGCCGCCGCCGACCAAGAAGAAAGAAGAAGAGGGAGCCAACTTCGCTGCCGAAGAAGGCCGCCGCCGTCGCCGCCGTGGGAGGTAGAAGAAGACGCTGAGGTAGTTCTACTTCTGTATTGTTCATTTTGTTTGTGGATTTCAAAATTCATGTTAGGGTTTCGGTTTCATGGATTTTTTTTGTGGAAATCTGGGTTTTGTTTATGGATTTGATCATTTATGGTTCATGCAATTCGATTTAGGATGTTTAGGGTTTTGATTCTAGATTTCCAGATATTGTGTTCGTGGGATTCGAATTTGGGGTTTAGGGTTTCGTTTTGGGGGTTTAGGGTTTCGTTTTGGTGGTTTATGGATTCGTTTTTCGATTTGTAGATTTAGGGTTTCATGGATTCGAATATGGTTGTTTAGGGTTTTTTTTGCAGATTACCAGATTCTGGGTCTTTGGGATTCGAATTTTGGGGTTTAGGGTTTCATTTATCGATTTGTAGATTTTGGGGGTTTGTTGGATACGATTTTGGGGAATGTAGGTATTGTTTGTTGATTCCTTGATTAAATGTTACGTGGATATTATTTTTGTCACTTCCGATACTTATTGTGATAATTTTATATATTGTTTCATTATGTTTTCTCGAATTCCATTTTGGGGGTTTGTTGGATACGATTTTGTTGAATCTGGGTATCATTTGTCGATTCGTTGGTTAAATGTTATATGGATATCAGTTTTTTCAATTATGATACTTATTCTGGGCATTTTTTATATTGTTTCAGTGAATGGGGAGACCGAAAAAGAACTCAAAGCCCAACAATGAGGGAGAAGGATCATCAAAGCAGCCACCGGATATACAACAACAAGAGGTTTCATTTCTTATTCCGTTTCTCGATCAGTTATGTTGGCTAAAAATTACTAGTCGGATGCATTTTAATATTTTCATTGACTGATTGTTTTCTTAATATCTAACTATGTTTCAGGAACAACCCGTGAGGAAGAAATCCAAAACTGTTCCACCAAAATCTGCAGCGAAATCTCGTGAAGCAGCTGGATCATCACAGCAGCCGTCGGCTGAACAACCATCAAAGGTTTGATTTCTCACTTCGTTTCTCGATTAGTTATATTGGCTAAAAAAAATAAACTGATGTGTTTGATGTGTGGATATCACTTCTGTTAATGTGGATACTTAAATGTTAGTTTTAGTTTTTTTTCTGGGTATTATGGATAATTTTCATGGATATCAATTATTTCCGTTTGGATACACTTTTGCTTTACTACGATAATAATTGTATGTATTGGCAAAAAAAAAAAATAAACTGACTTGTCTGATGTGTGGATATCAGTTCTGTTAATGTGGATACTTAACTGTTCGTTTTAGTTTTTGTTCTGGGTATTATGGATATTTTTTCATGGATATCAGTTATCTCCGTTTGGATACACTTATGCTTTACTACGATAATAATTAGTTATATTGGCTAAAAAAAATAAACTGATGTGTGGATATCACTTCTGTTAATGTGGATACCTATCTGTTCGTTTTAGTTATTTTTCTGGGTATTATGGATATTTTTTCATGGATATTAGTTATCTCCGTTTCGATACACTTTTGCTTTACTACGATAATAATTGTATTTATTTGCAAAAAAAATAATCTGATGTGTCTGATGTGTGGATATCAGTTCTGTTAAGTTGGATACTTAACTGTTCGTTTTAGTTTTTTTTTCTGGGTATTATGGATATTTTTTCATGGATATCAGTTATCTCCGTTTGGATACACTTATGCTTTACTACGATAATAATTAGTTATATTGGCTAAAAAAAATAAACTGATGTGTGGATATCACTTCTGTTAATGTGGATACCTATCTGTTCGTTTTAGTTATTTTTCTGGGTATTATGGATATTTTTTCATGGATATTAGTTATCTCCGTTTCGATACACTTTTGCTTTACTACGATAATAATTGTATTTATTTGCAAAAAAAATAATCTGATGTGTCTGATGTGTGGATATCAGTTCTGTTAAGTTGGATACTTAACTGTTCGTTTTAGTTTTTTTTCTGGGTATTATGGATATTTTTTTCATGGATATCAGTTATCTTCGTTTGGATACACTTTTGCTTTACTACGATAATTGTATTGTATATAAGTGTGCGTTTTAGTTATTTGTCCAAGGATTATGGATATTTTGCTTAATATATAACTGTGTTTCAGGAACAACCCGGGATGAAGAGAACGAAAATGGTTGCATCGAGATCTCGTGAAGGAGAAAAATCAAGGCAGCCGCCGCCTGCTATTCCAGAAGTTGAGGAGGAAGATGAGGAAGAAGATGATAAGGGAGAGGGTCCATGCGGCTCATATTTCAGATTTCGTGGGTCCACCTATTCCCTCTGCAAAATTATAAACTACTCCATCTGTTGGACTCTCTAAAACTAGGCGGGTTGCACACAAAGAGCATCCCTAGCTGCCGGTTTTGGTGGAAGCAAACTGTCGAGAGGGCAGCCACATCTATCCCCGTAGTCAGGGGAAGATATGACCTAGCTGCCGCTCTGCTGAGTAGGGAAGAAATCGCCTCTCGCAGGCAGCTCGAGCCGGCAGCTAGTGCAGCAGCTGCGAGCAAATCAGCTCCTCCTCCAGATCGTGCACCGTTGCCCACCACGGAATGGTGGGAGACTGAAGATTTGACTAGCCTTTCGCTGGGGCAGGTAAAATGTTTTCTTCCTCCCTAACTAAGATCGTGTATTGGTAGACTTGGACGATAAAGTAACCTAAATATTTCACAACATATGTGTAGCTTAAGGGATTGAAGGAAATCACTGAGAGCATGATTGAAAAGTGGGTTCTTCTTCGACCTCTCGAACTCTGGGGTCTTTAGTGTTGCAAGCCATTCCTCAGGTGTGTAGCTGTACAGACGGTCTCTCTCCTCATCAGTCATATTCCTCTCATCGGTGATAATCACATCTGGACTCCTCTCAGCGCTCCTATAAGCCGCTTCTACCAACTCCTCGTCTGTAGGCAACATTCCGGTCTCTGCAAGTTGAGAGAACGACTCCACCACATCTGTAGCTGGGTCAACTTCCTCGGCATTAGCAGCGCTAGTAGCCTCATGAGCTATCTGCAAAATGTCCTCAAAAGAGGTATCTGGGAATGTATAGTGTATCACCATAGGGACTGTCACCTCAAACAACTCCTCGTCCGGTGTCTCTACAGTCTTCTCAGCTTCATTCTCCACCACCTCAAATCGATTCTTCTCTTGAGAATCTTCTTCATATTTCTCTCCAGTTGTCTCCACTTGTGGCTCGACCTGGTGCCTCTAGAGGCTGCTCATCCATTTCCATTTTAGCTTCAGTATTCTCAACTCGGTCTTCCACCACATCTGTTTTAAGCTGCTCTAGCACCTCTTCAACAGTATTCTCCAAATGTCTCTTCCTGGAATCCACGACCTTGAACCTGTCATGCTCTTTCTTCTTTTCTATCATATGTCCCAGTTTTGTTGCAAAGTCCAGCAATTTTCCCATATGCCGGTTAATCCCAGCACCTAGTACCTTGAGCTGGAAGACAAACGAACATTTTGCGGGAATTAAAAACTATATCCAAACTGCTCGTACAATTATCCCATGTACCCAGACTATTATCAGAATAGAGCGTACAAATATTCAAATTGGCAGAATTGATATCCAAACATAACAAACACAAATATCCACAGAAATATCCAAATTCATCAAATTAATATCCAAACATCACAAACCATTATTCATAACTGAAAAGAACAACAAATATTCAAACATTACAAACCATTATTCAAACATCACAAGCTGATATCCAAATGAAACCAACAAATATTCCAGAACAACAAACTAAAATCCGACTAATATCCTAAGCCATTCCAACATGGCATCAAATTCGTGGAAAACAGTACAACCCCCCACCAAACAACGGAAAACAGTACAACATTGCATCATATTCACTCTTGCTGTTCCAAATTCTGGACAATCGTTTGGACCTTGTCCCTTCGAGCCACCCACTTTTCAATCATGCTCTCAGTGATTTCCTTCAATCCCTTAAGCTACACATATGTTGTGAAATATTTAGGTTAATTTATCGTCCAAGTCTACCAATGCACGATCTTAGTTCGGGAGGAAGAAAACATTTTACCTGCCCCAGCGAAAGGCTAGTCAAATCTTCAGTCTCCCACCATTCCGCGGTGGGCAACGGTGCACGATCTGGAGGAGGAGCTGAACTGCTCGCAGCTGCTGCACTAGCTGCCGGCTCGAGCTGCCTGCGAGAGGCGATTTCTTCCCTACTCAGCAGAGCGGCAGCTATGTCATATCTTCCCCTGACTACGGGGATAGATGGGGCTGCCCTCTCGACAGTTTGCTTCCACCAAAACCGGCAGCTAGGGATGCTCTTTGTGTGCAACCCGCCTAGTTTTAGAAAGTCCAACAGATGGAGCTGTAAAAAAAATTACAATTAATAAATGTTAAGTTCCATTTCTAGCAATTTAATCAACAAATATCCAGAGTCAACACAAACATAATCTTATGTGACTAAACTGATATCTAGAAATCATTTTAAGCTAGTTTTCATGCAAACAGTATCTTATGTGACTAAACAAATATCCAGCAGATCATACCCAAATACGAAATTCACTAGTTTTCATGCAATTGAACCAACAAGTATAGAAAAGGTATGGACTTACTGTCAAGAAGTAGCAATCTCCGAGAACCCACACGCACGGCGAGCGCAACCTTGCACTAGGTTCTTTTTTCTTGGCAGCAGTCAACTCTACTTTCAGTTCACGGACAATAAATGTGCACCAATCGTACACCCTCACGTCCTCAACACTCCCACCTAAGTATGGGGCAAAATCCAGCTTACACCTCCGAGAAAATGTTGGCACGAGCATCGAACCAGTAGCTAGCAGCAAGAATTGCTTCACAACAATTGCAACAGGTGGTCTAGGACCGTTGACTGGAATCGCCAACTCCCCACCGAGAGGAAGGTCGTAGACACGTGCCACATCCTCAGCTGTGAAGTCGAAGACCTTCTTCGAGTCTCCTTCCCCAAAAACAAAAGTACTGGATGAGGAGTCATAAGCAGCCATCAAGTCGTCCATGAAGACATTGCGTATCTTCGGCATGCGAAGCTCCAATAGGCCCCTGAATCCTGCCTTCTCGACTTCTTTCTTGCAGGCTGCATAGTATTCAGCATCTTCTTTCCAGTAGTTTATAATTTTGCAGAGGGAATAGGTGGACCCACGAAATCTGAAATATGAGCCGCGTGGACCCTCTCCCTCATCATCTTCTTCCTCATCTTCCTCCTCAACTTCTGGAATAGCAGGCGGCGGCTGCCTTGATTTTTCTCCTTCACGAGATCTCGATGCAACCATTTTCGTTCTCTTCATCCCGGGTTGTTCCTGAAACACAGTTATATATTAAGCAAAATATCCATAATCCTTGGACAAATAACTAAAACGCACACTTATATACAATACAATTATCGTAGTAAAGCAAAAGTGTATCCAAACGGAGATAACTGATATCCATGAAAAAAATATCCATAATACCCAGAAAAAAAACTAAAACCAACAGTTAAGTATCCAACTTAACAGAACTGATATCCACACATCAGACACATCAGATTATTTTTTTTGCAAATACATACAATTATTATCGTAGTAAAGCAAAAGTGTATCCAAACGGAGATAACTAATATCCATGAAAAAATATCCATAATACCCAGAAAAATAACTAAAACGAACAGATAGGTATCCACATTAACAGAAGTGATATCAACACATCAGACACATCAGTTTATTTTTTTTTAGCCAATATAACTAATTATTATCGTAGTAAAGCATAAGTGTATCCAAACGGAGATAACTGATATCCATGAAAAAATATCCATAATACCCAGAAAAAAAAAACTAAAACGAACAGTTAAGTATCCACATTAATAGAACTGATATCCACACATCAGACAAGTCAGCTTATTATTTTTTTTTTTTGCCAATACATACAATTATTATCGTAGTAAAGCAAAAGTGTATCCAAACGGAAATAATTGATATCCATGAAAAAATATCCATAATACCCAGAAAAAAAACTAAATCGAACATTTCAATATCCACATTAACAGAAGTGATATCCACACATCAAACACATCAGTTTATTTTTTTTAGCCAATATAACTAATCGAGAAACGAAGTGAGAAATCAAACCTTTGGTGGTTGTTCAGCCGGCGGCTGTTGTGATGATCCAGCTGCTTCACGAGATTTCGCTGCAGATTTTGGTGGAATAGCTTTGGATTTCTTCCTCACGGGTTGTTCCTGAAACATAGTTAGATATTAAGAAAACTATCAGTCAATGAAAATATTAAAATGCATCCGACTAGTAATTTTTAGCCAACATAACCGATCGAGAAACGGAGTAAGAAATGAAACCTCTTGTTGTTGTACATCCGGTGGCTGCTTTGATGATCCTTCTCCCTCATTGTTGGGCTTTGAGTTCTTTTTCGGTCTCCCCATTCACTGAAACAATATAAAAAATGCCCAGAATAAGTATCATAATTGAAAAAACTGATATCCATATAACATTTAACCAACGAATCGACAAATGATACCCAGATTCAACAAAATCGTATCCAACAAACCCCCAAAATGGAATTCGAGAAAACATAATGAAACAATATATAAAATTATCACAATAAGTATCGGAAGTGACAAAACTAATATCCATGTAACATTTAATCAAGGAATCAACAAACAATACCTACATTCCCCAAAATCGTATCCAACAAACACCCAAAATCTACAAATCGATAAATGAAACCCTAAACCCCAAAATTCGAATCCCACAGACCCAGAATCTGGTAATCTGCAAAAAAACCCTAAACACCCATATTCGAATCCATGAAACCCTAAATCTACAAATCGAAAAACGAATCCATAAACCCCCAAAACGAAACCCTAAACCCCCAAAACGAAACCCTAAACCCCAAATTCGAATCCATGAAACCCTAAATCTACAAATCTACAATATCTTCGGCGGCGAAGTCGGCTCCCTCTTCTTCTTTCTTCTTCGTCGGCGGCGGCTTCTTCCTCGTCGGTCGGTCCAGCGTCAACGTCGTCGGCGGCGGGAGATCCAACAAGCGGTCGCCGACCTCGCAGCCGTCGTCGCCGTCGCTTTCCTCGTCGGCGTCGCCTCTCTCGTCGCCTCTCTCGTTGTTGTTCTGCGGTTTTCGGGAGAAGAAGAGGGAGAGGGTTCGAAAGTTGGAGAGAGGGGAGAGAGAATGGCTGAGCGGGTTTGTTGGGTTTTGGGTTTCAAATTTGGGTTTTTTTTTCTGTCCCCACTTTTCCCAAAAGTGGCTCGGCTTGGCCAAAAACACCCCCCCCTCACAGAACAGGGTCGGCGACCCCTGGCCCTCCGATGGTGGCTCGGCGACGTGGCCCATCATCCCACCGTGTTAGTATCTGCTAACCACTTAAAGGGTTAGCAGAATAACGCTATTGTGAAGACAAACCCCAGAAACCCAAAAGGAACCCTGATGCGGCAGCCCCATCCATGAGGAAGAAAATAGCTAAGCAAAGGTGTGCGGTCCAGACAGTGGAAGATGAAGAAGATCTAGCTCGTGAATATCGTTTACTTAAAAATCTGAAGAAAGGGGCTATCAACGTAGATGAATTCGCAAAGCTAACAGGAACAGAAGAATTAACTTGAAGTGTATGTCCTGTTCTGTTAACATCGGCACTTGCCTCCTTGGTGTTCGAAAAGGCTCTTTAAAATTGCAAGAAAAAACTTGAGCAGTAGCAGGACGGGTACAACTCCCAAATGAGCAAGTCGGCTGACAGAAGCTATACACTAACACTGCGAGAGAAGTATAATTTTGTATAGTCCTCAATCATCGAGGATTTGCAGTCAGTAGAAACTCCTGAGAGACTGTAAGAAGCATAGAGCTTGTGTATGAGTTCCAACAGAGTACAGACAATTATGTAGCTTCTGGTTCGGCAGATTTTGTGCAAGAAACAAAAGTTAAATTTCTCCAGGAGAAGCTGATGACAAAGCATCCTTTATATTCAACGGGGAAAAAGCATCCTTGAACAACATAAGCAAGAGTACACTTGAAAGGCTCTTTATGATCGTCCTCTCCTAGTTCCTTCAAGCATTGGCTGGCTGTCTAGGGTTCATAGTTCAGAGCTTCCGATTTACAATTTAAAAGTTTTGTTTATACAAGTGTTGTTTGGTTTAATGTGTTTGGCCAATGCTACGGTGCCACAACATCTGATTGGGCCACGTGGAGGTTGATGTGGCATGGCTGGATATGTTTTGCTCTGGTTCAAACCAGTAGCCATGAGATTGGGCCTAACCGCTAGGTATCAAACAGACGGAAAAGCCTGACTGCCGTTATGCATTTTTACCAATCAATTCGGTTGAAATTTATTTTAATTGTATTTGTTTTTCCAACACAGAAATCGAACAAAAAGCCAGAGAGCAGAAGGTCGTATTCCTCGATCAGGCGCTCCTTCTCTGGCAAACTTCATCTTCGCTGACCCTTACGCCGCCATTAAACTTTCGTATTCCTCCTCGCTAACACAAGCAGCCATCTGTCTCGCTAGAGGTACTTTGCCGGCACCGTTGACGACTATCCATAGCCCAAGGAAGGATAGCCCTCCCACTGTGTCGTCCTTGTCACTCTTTGCCCCCGCTGTCACTGTTGGAATCGACTAAACTGGACGATCCGCAGCCCAAGGAAGGATAGCCCTCTCTCTGTGTCATCCTTGTCGCCCTTTGCCTCCGCCGTGGCTGTTGGAAATTGGAATAGAATAAAGTGAATTCGAATTTCGTTGGAGGGGCGTATAGACTCTCCACAACGACTGCACCCGTTCCAGGTAATTCAACGTTAGTAGGTGCAGCAACTAGGACAATGATTCGCGTCATTATTATCCTACATTGGTTGTAATTCTTTGGTGCCTCTTAAATGTTAAGCTAGCGATGCTGCAATGGGAGCATTGTTTGGGTGGTATTCCATTCTCAATTGATCTTTCTTTATTATGAGCAGCAGAGTGTTGTTGCTTTGTTAAGTCAAGATTCAGAGTACCATAGGGGACTGCAAACTACCATGGACTACCAATAACCCATCTTTGCATTACTAATAATACGTAATTTGGAATTTATAGTGAATGTTTGGCATGCTTTCCCTCGTTACACGCTAGTTTGGAGTTGAAATAGAGTGTATGTCAGTTTCAAGAATTGGAGGCTTGAGAAAACACTACGAAGAACCTGGTCGAGGTCATTGTTGCCTTCTTTACAACGCCAATAGGTGTTGGTTTTGGTTACTGGAGTCATGTGGGGCTGCATTTTTCATGGGAATCTGTAGATGTGAAATATAAAGATAGAGAAGTTTGAAAAGCCATGGACTTTGATGGAGTGTGGGGTTCATGGGTTTGATTCCTTGTTCTTTCTGATTAAGCTTACTATTATGGCTATCTAGGAATGCAATCATTGCCATGGACTGTTTTTATGCTTCTGTTAATCTTGTTTTTCTATAAGAATGCATTCATTGCTTGTGTCGAAAGCATTATTCAAATGGTTGTTAATGCTTCAGGTTGTAATATATTTTGTTGTCAAATACGTGATGCTTCAACTACAATTGATAGACAACAAATTTTACCCAGCTGAATGGAAGGTTTGGCTCACAACTCATGGTAATAATAATTACAATGCAAGTCTGTATAACTTAAAAGTGTTTTTTTTTTGGTTATACAGGATCACACGAAACCTCTTTAGCTCGTGGAGATGATCCTCGGAATGACTTACTTTCTGAGAATGTTGATACAATTTCCCAAAATCAAACTAGTGGTCATCCCCGTGAAATTGCTGGTATGTCGCTCTTGAACCTTGTTTGAAATAAATAAAGACCAGACGAGAAACTTGACACACCTCCAACCCGAATGGAAGGTTTGCTTCTCTACACATTGTATCAGGATTACATTTTACTTATTTATAGTGAAGTAATAAGTTAGTTTTGTTTGCAGGATCAAAAGAACCTCTTTAGCTTGTCGAGCTTGCCCTCAAAATGACATGTTGACACCGTGGACACGGTATTTAGAGAATGTTTGTGTAGTGGATAGTGACAGCTAGGGAAGTTAAACTTTAGCTTGAGTTTCTTTTATGCTTTTCCAAGTTGGTGGATTAATGAGCTTTGTACTTGGAATTGGACGCATCAAATCAATGATCACGAGACTGAATATTTGTTCATTAGATGGCATTTATTGAGGTGATTTACTCGGTAGATTTGCTGGAGGTGATGCGCGTTTGTTTGTTGTTAAGCTTCTCAGTTCTTCATGTCTGTTGTTCCTTCTCTAGTTTCTGATTTTTCTGTTGTACATAATATCAGTAACAACTACCAACTTTGTTATGCTGATTTGATCTTGGAATTAATCATTTTCACCAATATGTACTTGAAGATAGAAAATGTATTGAAGCTGAAAGTTGAGTACATCATTGCAGCTTTTGAAATAGTATTATTGAACACTCCCACAATCTGAGATATCCATCAGTAGTTTTATTAAAGGAGTTGCTCTTCTTTGTTGACAATGTACATTCTCTACCAGTTGATAGCTCCATCTCCAGTTCTCCACCACTTGAAATCAGAAATCTTTGTTTCAACTTTAAAGAGGCCAAAACCAAGACAGAATCCTTGTGGCAACATGCAGAGTCTGTTGCAGGTTGCAGGCTTGCAGCTGCTGCTAAGTCTGCCTTTGTAGTGAACTTTACTGTTGAATTTTTTAGGCAAAATACAATTTCGTAGCCATAACTATTCGCGTTGTGACAATAATAGCCACTTTTTGAAAAATACACTAACATAGCCATTCCGTCACAAACTCTAACAGAAACATCATGAACGCTGACTGGACTAACGGTTTATATTGATGTGGCAACTTTTTCTCTTGATTTTTCTAGGTTGGAAATATTATTTTTTTAATTAATTGGAAAACAAAAAAGAACAAGGAAATGAAAGCGAAGATGACATAAATGCCCTCAATAATGCCGCATCTCCAAATCAAGTAGAGAATGATCCATATATCTCTCCATCTCTCTCTCACTCCTGCAGCCTCCCATCAATCCCGGCGACCGCTTCGACTCCCTTCCAATCCTCTCCACTTCAACTCTTTCCAATTGACACCTCCGCTGAACCCAAGCATCCCTCACCCCAGATCTCCCCACAACCCCAAAATCTGATATCCATTGTCCCCTCGAG